GCTTCCAAAGGGTCTGGCGGAGAGGAAGACAATCGGTGAATTTAACACAGGATGGGCGTTTGAGGACAAATGATCAAAAGACGCACAATACAGCACAAACGCACATTCCCACACGCTTAAAAATCACAGTCAATCCTCAAAAGGTGCTCCCAAGTTGTGCCTGCATTTATGTAAAACATTTGAAATAATTAATTGAACCATAATGATCCGGGCGCACACAGCGGACAGCCTCTTAAACTGCTTTTCTTTACATTAACCTCATCTTTGCCCTCTTGTATCCATGTTTCTATTTGTAACTCGCCTCCCAAAGCTGTAACTATAACCGTCTCCATCTCTGCATGGCTGAAATAAGCAATGCTGACCTCTAGTGTTCCAAAACTGCCAGAGTACCTCTCAGCAGTGGGTTAATTTTTAACACAAACACCTCCTTTTCATCTCATGTGCTCCCTTGTGGTGGAATATTTTTAATACTGTTTTCATCCACTATCAGAGGAGCTGTGCAGGGAGGAAGGAAAAAAAGAAGAAGAACAGCAGAAGGCAGCAGGATGGTCGCGCTAATGGCGAGTCAATCCTGTGAACGAGAGGCCTCCTACCTGCAATATGCGAGTCCATCTGGTTGTTTGAAGTGAGGATGACAGAGACTGAGGCCCCTACCTGTTCATACGCTGTACTAGGCAAGAGAAGCAGAACACAGAAAACCAGTTTCCTCCTGTTTCAGCTCACATCAGAGGCTGCCGACTGCATCAAACAACCACTGCTGCCTGGCTTTACTCTCACTACCAAGTTCGCGAAAATATGGCTAACCCACACAGCAGCACATGAATCTTTGATTCAACCGCCTCTCCCCCCCCCTTTTGTTAAAAGAAGGACAACACAATAACGTGGCCGCCCAGTCAATCAACACCACTGGGTACACACCTGTGGAACTTGACCAATGCAAACGCACCTGTGGCCAGTATGAAGGACTCAGGGGTTCGCTCGGGGAGAGGGGGAGGGGAGTCGTCGCTGTCCCAGCAGTCTGGGTTAAAAAGGTCAGAGGTCAAATGAGAAGCAAGGTTAACTACTGGCCGAGAAGAAAGGCAAAAAGATCGGCAGTCATATGGAGACAAAAAGGCAAGAAT